TTACTACTTCTAACCCTGAGAGTCTTTGATCCTATGGGAAATTTGCAACAGTGTGAAGGAGTTTGCTGTTTGTTTAAAAGGAAATTTTCAAAGGAAAGAATTCAATTTTTCAGTGATTTGTACTCATTTATTTGACGGGGAGGTCAGCTGGCCAGTATGGGGATCCGAACCTTTGAACTTGATGTTACAGCACCACACTCTAACCAATTGAGCTAAGAGGCCAGCTCAATTTTCAGTGATTTAAAGGTGAAAAATCTGAACTTCATTGGTTTAGTAGTAAAATTGGTGGCCATAAGCTGTTCTGTGCATCTGCCAGGGCACTGATGTCCCCACATTGATGGTTTGCCCATGATTCTCATCTCATGTTGTTAAAAATATGTGACAGGGAATACCCAAAGCACATTGCTGAATTTTAGATTAGAGAATTGCTGAAATGATTAAGAGAGAGTTCTTAGATAATTCATTGTGGGGGGATGTTTTAAATATTTACCCATCTAACATAATTGGTGCCTTATTTAAAGTCACCAGTTTCTCTGAATTGACACGTGGAAGAAAATTTCTTCTTAAGCTGTGCAAAGATGATTTAAAGTTACTGTTTTACAGTTGTTCCTTTCTAGATATGCAGGTATAAGGAACTGAGAGATTTTGTCTATAGATACAAAAGTTTCTTTCATTTTCACAGTCTTCTTAACTATGAAAGTAATCACAGCTGTTTCTACACATCAGGAAGTATCTCATTTGCTCCACATTTGGGCCTTGTAATTGCATGATTCAGTATATAGGCAATCCCATCTGTAGATGGGGCCATCGCTGTACTTCCCTTACTGATCCATCTCTGCCTTCAGCTTGGGAGCTCAAGTTTGGAGGAACTTAGTAGGGTCTGGTTACAAGCAGGGCTCAAGGCTCAGAGATACCTCAGGCCCTGAGGAGCTTTAAACTATCCTGATTATAAAAGCTGAAGAACTCCATATATATTCATCTGCCTCCAGGTATGTATGTTTTTTTCTTGCTATAAACTAGTCTCGTAGGAATGAATCAAAGAATTATATTGTTTCCAGGACAGACAGCCAACATTTAATGGGAAACAAGACCACAGATAAATAGTAAGTAAAAGAATGGTTTTCAAGACCCTACGAAAATCTGCCAAAACTTTGGAGAAGTGTGGTAAATTGATTTTGATTCCAAAACAGTGGACAGGTAGATGACATGTTGGGTGCACAAGGCAGAGACTTTGCTGTCAGTTTGAAAAACAAATTGCATTATTACATGGCATTTCTTATGTTGTATAGTTTATTGAAAACCATAAACTATAGCAATTATCTCACTTGATGGTGTTTTTTTTGGTGTTTTTTTGTTTTGTTTTGTTTGTGGCTGGCTGGTATCACTTGATGTTGAAATGGATCATGTGAACATATTCTGAAGGTTGATTCATTCAAGACAGATTGTGCAAGAAATGTTAGTACATTGACATCAGATGTCAAGATTTAACTAAACCTATATGGTAGGAAGAAATGTTTAGGACTTTTACCTCTAGGAATCCTGCAAATTAGAGTATCTAACTGATAAAAATACTGTAGGAAAAGACAATTGTATATGATAAATTTCTGCAAGTGTTTATTACATGACTGACTGACTTTGAGTGGTTGGGGGGGGAGGGTTATAAAAGATTATCATGCTACATATCCATTATATGCAATTGGGCTGTTTTGTTCCACTCTTCCGCACTCAGGGACCCAGACTGGGAGTGTTCCCACCTGATTTGGAGGTCACCCACCACTTTGGTCGGGTGTTCCCCTCTCATCTGACCCCAACCTCACACTCAGTTTCCTTTCCAATCCATTCAATTCCTGATCTTATTTGAGAACTCCAACCTTGTATGGTCTCCAGCCTTCTTGTGAGGGATAACTTGTTTTTCTTAACTCAGAACATTTTAAGAGAAGTCAGCAAGGCAGGGAAAGAGTGGAATGACTCACTCCTAGCTGCTTTTTCTCCTTGACTAACCAAGGAGAAGGGGACATGGCTGAAGCTTTGGGCTTGGCACTCCATCAGGGTATTTTGGGGACTCCAGCTGGGGATACCGCCTTAGAGCAATAGGTGGGGCAGAACTAAAATCCCAGCAACCCCTCTAGGGGCCAGAGCCAGTAAGGGTTAATTGCACGAGCTTGCCAGAGACCTTTGGAATCTGAAGGGATCATTATGTTACTAACCTGAGCTCAGCTTTCACTTTACAGGCTCTTGTAGCCTCAGAAAAGCTTGTGGTAATCGTTCTAGACAACATACCAGAACCTGTTGGTGACAGTCCTATTCACTTTTTTTGCCGAAAGGGATAACAGGTGTCTATGGTCTCATGAAGGATAGAAACTTCTGCTCATGGTGCACCCTGTCCTGACAAGGTGTCTAGTAGGTGTTTTTAGTGGCTTCCATTTTTTTCTTACGACCATCTGTAAGGTTGGTTTCAGCACCATGTTGCTAGTATATAAGAATCTTGGTGTTGGAACAGAGCTCTGTCTGGCTCCTCATCCCCTCGTCTTTTGCTCCTGCACTCTGCCTTTCCCTAAAGTATTTTTTTTTTTCTATAAAGCATTAACCTGGAAGTATTTTAAATAATATCTATTCTTACACCTCAAACATTTGGCCTAGGGGCTGGCCTGTGGCCCACTTGGGAGAGTGTGGTGCTGATGACACCAGGGCCGTGGGTTCGGATCCCATGTAGGGATGGCCGGTTTGCTCACTGGGTGAGCATGGTGCTGACAACACCAAGTCAGGGATGGCCGGTTTGCTCACTGGGTGAGCATGGTGCTGACAACACCAAGTCAGGGATGGCCGGTTTGCTCACTGGGTGAGCATGGTGCTGACAACACCAAGTCAAGGGTTAAGATCCCCTTACCGGTCATCTTTAAGAAAAAAAAAAAAATTGGCCTAAGAACTGGAAAAGTGTAGAATAGTATCATTTTGGAGAAAGGAGCAAATGTAACTACAAATGTTTTCTCAACCTTTTATTTTGAAATAACTTGAGACAGAAAAGTTGATATAAAGAATTCCTATGTAACCTGTCATGCAGATTCCACACATTGATATTTTACCACATTTGCTTTTTTTTTTTTTCCCTGAATAATTTGAGAGTATGGTTGCAGACATCATGTCTAAATACTTCGATGTGTATTTCCTAGCAAACTAGGACATTCTGTTACATGACCACAGTACATTAATCAGAATCAAGAAATTAACACTGATCTAAGTACTAATCCACAGACGATATTTAAATTTGGCCAGTGGTCCCACAACTTTCTTTTGTAGCAAAAGAAAAAGTATTTTGTTGTACTTTTCTGGCTCAAAATGTGAATCACTTGTGATATTAATTTGTCATATCTCTTAGCATCTTTAATCTAGAACAGTTCCTTAGCCCATGACCTTGATACTCATGGAGAGTACAGGCAATTTATTTTGTAAAATTTCCCTCAATTTGGGTTTGTCTAATGTTTCCTCATGATTAAATTCTGGTATGCATTTTGGGAGTGGAAATATCACAGAAGTGATGTTGGTTCTTTTCAGTATGTTCTATCAGGAGGTGCATGGTGTTGGAGTGCCTCATACCTGAAGAGGAGAACCTTGAGCACTTGGCTTGGGTGGGATCTGTCAGGTTTCTCCACCATGAAGTTACTGTTTTCCCCTTTGTAATTAATAGGTATCTTCTGGGGAGATACTTTGAGACTACGTAAATATTTCTATTTCTCATTCAAACTTTTAGCTGCTAGTTTTAATATCCATTGATTCTTGCCTGAGATAATTATTACTGTGATGGTTGCCAAATGGTGATTTTCTAATTCCATCATTCCTTCTGTGGTAAGTAAGAGCTTTCTCTTCTCTTCTCCCATTTACAAATAAGTTCAGTCTGACTTCATGCTAGAATTCATACATTTTTTGCCAAATATTGTAGTGGTACATGTAAGTTATCTGGGAGATAATTGTTTTTACGTTCAAGCTCTGTAAAGTAATCCTCACAAAAGTTTTAATAGGAAATGAAAGAATAGTCCTGTTTCATGTATGACATTTCATTCTAGTTCTTATCTCTCAGTTCCAGTGATAATGTTTTATTTTTCTCTGTGTCCATCTGTATTTGCCATTGCTTATATCTTCATTACTCCCTCCTGGGTTCTGTTTCTACCATAGAAATTTGCTTAGAGCCCAAATGGCTTTTGCTTTTTTAATTTTTTAAGTGCTTATAAGAAGAAGGAAAAAAATTATCTAAAGCTTTAGATAAGCACTATGTCAGAATCTTGTACTTACTAATTAAGTCAATGTGAAAAAAACTTTTTAAGCCTTAGGACAGGGGAATAGAGGTAACCCAGAAGGAGAGTTTAGTATAAGCAGCCATCTTTGATTGGTCAGAGTCTGCAGCTAGTAAACCTGACAGAACCCTTACCTAAAGGGGCACCCAGGCAGTAGCCATGATGTGCACATTATGCCACTGCCCCTTCCCATTTTTCTGAATTTCTTCTGTAGGAGGAAACTGGTTATCATTGATTGTGTGCTCTCTTCTGCCCTTCTCCCCTCATCTAAAGGGGGATGAAAAAAATAAATAAACCTTCTAAGAAGTTTGGAAGGAAAATGAATTTATGGTGTCTAGAATGGTTAAGGACTGACATGTACCTGATTTTCTGATATTTTCCTTTCAAGTGAAATTAAAATTATATTGCAGCAATTTGTTTCTTGATTCAGAAGGCATTTATAGGGTTTTCTTTGTTTGTCAGTCTGCAGATTGACATTTTAAACCTCTATTGTTGTCCAGACCTTGAAACACTTGGCTTTTCAGCTCAAATTCTGGAGTAGTAGTTTATCTTGATTATATTTACTTAAATTTGAGGTTTTCTTCAGATCCTAATCCTTGTGACTGCTAGCAAATTTCCTGGAGTCATAAAGAAATCTCTCAAAGAATAATTAATATTCACAAGATCAGGTATCTCTGAATCGTCCTTGACCACTGGATTTTCTTACTGTAGGAGGATCTCCTGACATACTCCAGCCAAGAACTTTTATGCGTGGACCTTCCCGAAGATTTTCTACGGAACAAAGGTATTTATTTCTCTCAAATCTTTTTATTTTTCCACTTACTACACACACTGTTTTAGTTCACAGTTTCCATTTTGCATTGAGAATATAAGGGTTATAGGTCCCTGCCTTGCAAGATGGACTTAACTATAGAAATTTCATGATACTGTCCATGAATGTACTTGAACAAACACAGTGTTATCAAGCAGTTCTTTATTTTTGACAATAATTTGCGTCCCACTTACTTTTTCTATAATGAGTCCCTCCCTATTGCTAGTATGTTGAACCCTTATTGCTGATGTGAAATCTTTTATTTGATTTTATATAATTAAATATATTTACCAGTTTGGAATGGTTAACTGGAACAGGGAAGGAACCCATCCAGGGTACTTCAGCATGTGGCAGTGCATCCTGTTCTTGTGCTCTGGGTATAGGTATGAGAGAAAAATGTTAACCCTAGGTCACCTTCAGAGTTTTCAAGGCAGGTTTATATCCATTACCTCATTTTGCCCCTCAAAACAATAGTTGTGTATAGGCATCTGTGATAATGTTTTAGAATGATTGATTGAGGAGGCAGTTGAGGCCCAAAAGGGAGTAGCTGAGCCAAGATTCTCTACCTTCCCCTACCCCCCAGGCTAAAAAGAATCTTAGGTAACTTTAGAGAGGACTACATGTATATTTATAATACAATTAAGTTTAATAATAAAGACTAATCAGAACCTTAAAAAAGGGAGATAGAGTAAATACATTAAATTTTAGAGAAAATTTTGTTATTGTGATATAATATCAGATTTGACTGTCCACTTCTTGGCAGCCTGGACAGAAAAGGAAGCACAAATCATTCTTACGAAAAAGGACATTTGTCCTAGTTTATCACCCTTCTTCCTGCTGCTGCAGATTTTCTCTGTAGCTCAAAGGCTTTACTGTCCAGTATAGATTAAAGGACATTGCTCTGAAGATGAGAAATGTTTTGAACATAAGTCTCACCATGTTCTTAGGAGCTTACTAGGGATGCAATTTAGTGGCTCCACCCCCACCTCACCCCTAAGATCTTTTCAGTGAGGCTCCAGTATTGCTATATGCAGTCTTTTGTCTAGTTTCACCTACATCTTAACACAAAATTTACTGTCTGTGCTTTGGACTACACTTTTCATTTAACTGCTCAACTGGCCTTTTAAACAGGAGAACCAGAGTTTTTTTCTGCTTGGAAATCTGCCTTTGCAGACTTAGCTGGCTGCTCTTTACTTTAAAAGCTTGTCCACATTAGACATAGATAAGATGAGCTCTTCTGAAAGGTATCCTCAGATAAACTACTCTCTGGCACTTTTCTTCCTATCCTAATACCATTCTTTAATAACTTAAATTGGTAAAATAAATTATTTGATTTTTTTTTTAACTTCCAAAGCCATGTGTAAGGTTCTTTTTGATATGGAGGAACTTGAAATCAGCACCTCAACTAGAGTTTTTAGCGGCAATCACCCAGCGCCTAACTGTGGTACATTCATTCAGTCTTCCAAGAACCTTCCAAGGTATTCCCTATGTTACACATGGGGAACCAAGCTCAGCTGTCCAAGGTCACAGCCAGTCTTAGCAAGGCAGAGAGGAAGGTTCTATGAAGGCAGGTCTGTGAAGGTATTGAGCCCTGGGAGTATGAGCTGTACGTGCCACCACCCTGGATTTGATTTAAACAGGTGCATGTGCTCTTCTGAAGTGTGGCCAGCATTTCAGCTCCCTTTGCCAAGGTCAAGATAAGGCATCTAATACCTTATTACTTACTGGGGAATTGAAAACTAAATGATGCTTCTTGGAAATCTAGTTGTACTCTGTCTCCAACGGCCCCAGCTGCCAAAGTTTTCACTCTGCCCCAGCTCGTAGCTCCTAGTTTGAGCATATGAAAAATTTCCTGATGAAAATCTAATACATCATTGCTACCTTTGTTTTCTAAGTGTTTGCACTGTTGAGCACTGTGCAAATTATTTCACATAGTTTTATTTATATTAAGTTTTGGTTATTCTCAGTGGGGAAACTTCAGTGTTTTGTAATTTATCAGTTTGCTGAGGAATGAATTTGGATCCCCTTGCACTGAATTGTTTAGTAAGTGATCCTAGACTCTACACTCTCCTACCAGTACATTATTTTTCCTTCTCTATGGAGACATCCTACTCACAGTACTAGCAAGTTACCATGGTATTCCAGAGTTTTGAGATTCTTTATGGTCATATGTTTGCTGTGGCTCAATTAGGTAAAATGAGAACAAGTTTAACCCTTTAAAAGGGCTCGGGCGTGTCTACCAAAAGGAGCCTTCAATTGGTAGTATGCTCTTTTGCCTATCGTTCTGAATTTCTTGATTGCGGTAGTACAGACCCATGAGAGACAGGTGTGAGGGAACAGTGATGGGAGTAATTGAGGGACCATTTCACAAGGGACACTGTCCTTTTGTCAGGCACTCTGACTGCTACCTCTCCCTTTTTGCTATTCTGAGCTTTAATGTGGCTATTTCACCATAATTTTCTGTTTAATATTTTATAAAATGATGTTATCAAGTATGTTTGCTTTATTTTGTTTTTTAGAGAGTTCCTGTAACCGAACTTATTTAGGATGGTTGTGTGTGAGAAAGGTGGAAAGGTACCAGGAACAATGCCAATATTAATTTCCACTAATATTGTGGTATTTAATTCTCACAGTAGTGATTTCCATTAAGGCTTATTTCGGAGAATCACCAGAAACTGGAAGAACATTAATGAAATACATTTTGAGAAGAAGTGAAAGCAGTTGAGGGAAAATCTTCCTTATCTCAAATAATTTTTGGAGCTAGGTAGTTTAGATAATTTTTTTTCTTTTTTTTTTTTTTTTTTTAAGTTGATGGGTAAGGGGATATTAACCCTTAGCTTGCTGTTGTCAGCACCACACTCAGCCATTGAGCTAACCGGCCATCCCTGTATAGGATCCAAACCCATGGCCTTGGTGTTATCAGCACTGCACTCTCCCGAGTGAGCCATGGGCCGGCCCTAGATATTTAGAATAAAGTTGAAACAGTCTTTTATAGGCCTCTCTTTCTGTTATGTGAATAAATTAAGCATTATAAGTAGATAGAATGAACCTATGTATTAAGTTCTTATGCCTTATATACATGTTGATTTTTGGAGTTTGTTGATTTATATATATATATATATATATATATAATTTGAAATTATATATAAATATAATTTGAAAACTTCTACAAATGTTTTTGTAGAAGTTTTGCTCCCTATGTATGTCATTATCCTCTTTTATTTTACATTTTGGGGAGTGAAAAGTTGAAAAATCAGCCAGTACCCCATCCACTTAATAGGCAACAAGGAAGAAGTCTAAACTTTTGGAACTAATTTTTTTTCTTTTATTAAGGAATAATTTACATACAATAAAATTCACCCTTTTGTGTTTGTATACAGTTTTGACAGACACACATAGTTGTGTAACTACCACCATTGTCAAGACACAGAACATTTCCATCACCTCAGCAATTTCTCTCCCTTTTTACTTAGTCGCTCTTGCCATCCCGTCGTTAGCAACTACTAATCTGTTCCCTTCTGTCACTGTAGTTTTGTCTTTTTCCAGAATGTCATATAAATGTAATCATACAGGAGAAGGCTTTGAGTCTGGCTTCTTTCATTTAGAATAGTGCATTTAAGATTCATTCATATTACTGTGTATATCAGTGGTTCATTCCTTCTTATGGCTGTGGAGTATCCCCTTGTCTAGTTGTACCACAGTTTCTTTATCCATTTCCCATTTAAGGAGAATTTGGGTTGTTTCCAGCTTTGGCAATTATGAATAAAGCTGCTGTAAAAGACTTGTATACCAGGATTTGTGTGAGCGTAAGTTGTCATTTCACCTGGGCAAATACCTAGGCTGGGTCATTTGGGAAGTGTGTATTTATTTTTATAAGAAACTACCAAACTGTTTTCCAGAGTGGTTGTGTGACTTTGCATTACTGCCGACAATATACAAGTTCCAGTTGAGAAGTTGAATACTTTTTCATTATGAATTACTTGTAATTTGGAAAGCCAGATTTTCAGTGGTCATTACAAGCTTAGGAGGTGACACAAGCTTATGGGAGTATCTGCAGCTATCCTCCTACCTCTAGGCAGCCTTGGTGAATCTCTGCAATTAAGCTTCCTTTTATAAGACATTAGAATATTGCTAACTTATTACACATCTTCCCAGGACAAGGGTGTGGGATAAACCAGAACTTTCGTCATATTTAGTTTCCACAGTCTAATCACTTAAATTTTTGATCTAGGAAAAGGTTTTGACAGAAATGCTGTTGAGTCCTTGTCAGCCTCTAGTGTGTCATCCCAAATTATGGTTATATGGAGACACCAAAAAAAAAAAAAAGTTCAAGTTTTCTGATGTTACTTATATTAAAATTGGAGCATAAACTCTTTTTTAAAAAGTTTTATTGATTTGCTTGATAGAGTGCCTTATTTAAAAATAATAGCTTTATTGAGATATAATTTACACACTATAAAGTTCACCCATTTAAAGGATACAATTAATGTGCTTTTTTTGTATGCTCACAGAGTTGTGCAGCCATCACCATAATTTAATTTTCATCACTCTTAAGAGAAACTCTGTACCCATTAGCAGTCATTCCCCATTCTCCCCATTGCCATGTTCTTCCAACCACTAACCTACTTCTGTCTGTGTAGATTTGCCTGTAATGGACATTTTATGTAAATGGAACTGTACAGTATGTGGTCTTTTATGACTGGCTTCTTTCACTTGGCATAAAGATTTTTTTAAAAATTTATTTTATTTATTGAATGAAAATCGATTATACATATTTTGGGGGTTGAACATTGAGATATGTTGATTAAATCAATATTACTAGCATGTATATTGTTACAAATCGTAATTATTCGGCATAAAGATTTTAAGGTTCATCCATGTTGTAGCATGTATCAGTACTTCATTCCTTTTTACAGTTCAATAATATTCCATTTTATTTATCAGTTGAGGAGTATTTGCGTTTCCCTTTTTGGCTATTATGAATAATGCTGTTGTCAACATTTATGTAAAAGTTTTTGTGGGCCCCTAAGTTTTCAGTTCTCTTGGATGGAATTGCTGGGTTATATGGTAACTATGTTTAGCATTTTGAGGAATTGCCAAACTGTTTTTCATCAGTTTATTAGAGCACAGCCTTATAACACTAAAGTAATGAGTTCAGATCCCTGTGCAGTCCAGCCACCACAAAGAAAAAAAAAAATTTTTTTTAACTGTTTTCCAAAGTAGCTCTACCATTTTGCATTCCCACCAGTAATGTAGGAAGGTTCTAGTTTCTCTGCATCCTCTCTAACACTTATTTTTTGTTTTCGTTGGTTTTTTTTAGTTCCAGCCTTCCAAATGAATGTAAGTGGTATCTCATTGTGGCTTTTGACTTATATTTCTCTAATAATTAAAGATGTTGCGTGTTTCCTTATGTTTTTATTGGCCATTTGTATATTTTTGGAAGGATTTAATTCCTTTGCCCTTTTAAAAAAAAAATTTAATTACAGGCATCTGAACCCTTAACCTTGGTGTTATCAACAGCACTGTAACCAACTCAGTTAACTGGCCAGCCCTGTCTTTTCACTTCTTAATGTCCTTTGAAGCACAAAAGTTTTTGATTTTGATGAAATCCAACTTATTGGGTTTGTTTATCACTTATTCTTTTGGTGTCTTAACTAAGAAATCATTACCTAGCCTGAGGTCACAAAGATTTACTCATGTTTTATTCTAAAAGTTTTATAGTTTTAGTTCTTACATTTAGGTCTGATCTGCTTTGAGTTAATTTTTGTGTATGGTGTAAGGTAGGGTACAAATTTTTTTTGTATTTGAATATACAACTGTCGTAGTACCATTTATTGAAAAGACTGTTCTTTCCCCCTTTAATCGTTTTGGTCCCTTTGTCAAAAATCAGTTGATTGAAAATAAATGATAGGGTTTGTTTCTGCACTCAATTTTTTTTTTTTTTTTTGTCCTTTTTGAGACCGGCCGCACCGCGCTCAGCCAGTGAGCGCTGTGAGCGCACCGGTCATCCCTATATAGGATCCGAACCCGAGGCGGGAGCACTGCTGCGCTCCCAGTGCCACACTCTCCCGAGTGCGCCACGGGCTCGGCCCTCTGCACTCAATTTTATTTCATTGATCTGTCTGTTCTATGATAGTACCACAATGTCTTGACACTGTAGCATTTTAGTAAGTTTTGAAATCCAGAAGTGTCAGTCTACCAACCTTGTTCTTCTTTTTCAAGATTGTTCTGGCTGTTACGTGTTCCTTGCATTTTCATATGAATTTTAGGATTCGTTTGTTAATTTCTGCAAATGTAAATACTTTTATCTTTTTTTTTTAAAGATGACCGGTAAGGGGATCTTAACCCTTGACTTGGTGTTGTCAGCACCACGCTCTCCCAAGTGAGCAAACTGGCCATCCCTATATGGGATCCGAACCCATGGCCTTGGTGTTATCAGCACCACACTCTCCCGAGTGAGCCACGGGCCGGCCCAATGTAAATACTTTTAAATGGTTATAAAGCTAGAAGTCCAGGATTTTCAGCTGAGGTTATGAAATTCTTGTACTTCTAAAATGGGCCCATACCTCACACAATACACGTTTCACCCTCCAGTATACCTAAGACTTCTAACAACTTCCCTAATCTTCTAATTCTTCATTCAGCCAACATTTATAATGTGCCTACCATGTGCCACGGTCAGTGTCAGGTACTGAGTCCCCAACAATCATCAAGATCCAGTTTCTGTCCTGATACAGCTGCAATATATTAAAAAATAATTGAGAAGCAGTATTATAGAGGTTTTGATAGAGATTTTGTGCAAGGGAGTGGGGCCCCAAAGGAGTAATAAGAGTGGCTAGCACTAACTGAGAGCATGGATGCTGTCTGGCACTTCAAAGAGCTTTACATGTATTAATTCATCTAATCTTTACAATAATCTTGTGCGGTATGTACAATATTTTTCCCCATATTACCTAAAACGACCAGGTCAGTGTTCCAAAGCCTTTAGAAAACTTTCTAATAAAAATAAAATGACTTCAAACTCTCTTTTAACATTCTCTGAAATTTCAAAATGTGATTAAAAATAAGTCAAAGGAATGGGTAGAGTATCATTTTGCTTTCCAGCTGTACACAACCTTTCTTCCCCCACAACCTGCTGCTACACCACCTGGGAGGTGGCTTCTCCACCTTCTCCTAAGACTCTTGACTGAGTAGGGAACTGGCATTCTTCCAGCAGCTAGGGGCTCTCAGGGAGAGTCTTGCCTTAAGTGCCTTGCACAGAGTAAACCCACAGTAAACGGTTTGGGGATGGATGAAGAGTTTTACAAGTTTCCTGATCAGATATAATAAGGGATACACCAAGGATAGTGCTGGAAGAGAGAAAAGGTCCAGAATATACCAGATGGTTTAATGAATGCTATAGTATCCACTAGAGAGATATAATAAGACCATTTGGAGTATTCATGCTTAGAAATTCATGAATAGGATAGCATTGTCTGCTGTGATATGGAAAGTAGGCTAGTTTCACAATGATAAATATTGTGTGAGGAATTAGGATTTCGAGGCTGCCTTTTGTCACATGTCAGATCACTGCAAACTTGTGGAATCTAGTATACATTTATCCATATTTGCTGAGTCCAAATGTTTTTAAATGCTATTCCTAGCCTAGTTGTTATCATTTTAACTATTCTCAGGTCCAGGAAAAAAAACAATCAAAGCAGAGTAAAGGAAAAGCACCTTTCCTTTATATGGCGGACACTGTATCAGGTGGTGTTTTACATTTATTATTTAATTTAATCTTCAGTATAGCACCAAGGTAAGTGTACTTCTCCCAGTTTTTACAAAGGAGGAAACTGAGACTCAGAGAGGTAAGTATCATCACAGAGCCAAGATTCAAGCCCAGCTGGCCTGGCTTCAGATTCACCACTCTTTTTCTTAGTAATTGCTGCTCTTACTCCCTCTTGAGAAATGGAGAGGGAAGCCCTAGAAACTCACTATTAATATCATTTGTTGATTTGACCTACCTGTATTCATTCAATAATTCTGCAAATATTTATTGAGAGCTGTTATGTACCAGGCATTATAGTGGACAATAGAGAAGAGAAGAGAACAAAACAAACAAGATCCTTACCCTCATGAGTTTATATTCTAGTGGTAATTAGGTCTTTAAATTGATTTGCATTTTGCTTTATATATTTAGTGCAGGTATCCTATTATATACATGCATACACACACGTGCATGTGTATAGGTTTGGGTTTGTTTTCTAAAAGAGGAGGAGGGATGAAAATATGTGTGTACATTAATGGTTTGGGGAACATCTTTATACTGTATCTTATACTGAGGATTTCAGAGAAACACTGTACAGTAAAACTCCTTTATGAATTGCATTTACGTTCTGCTTAGAAAGGTTTTTTATTTGTTTTTTAATGTTTCATAATGGAAATTTTCAAACTTATTCGGTAGTGGAAAGAGTATACTAAACCCCCATGTACCTGTCACTGAAGTTCAATAATTATCAGCTCAATCTTGTAGAAAGGCAGTTATTGTAGGTAATTGGGTTCAAGAGTAATATTCAACTTACAGATTAATCTCTCTTTTAATAATATTTTATGTATAATTGTTCTTTTTCAAAGAGTAGTTTTATCTGTGACTTACCTGAGTTCAAGTAATAAGAAGATGGTCATCTAATAATGTAAGTTGTTGTATTGTGAGTCTACTCTATTAATGTTTTAAAATGGAAGCTTCTTAAGACTCTGTATTAAGTATATGTCTCCACATTGTATACAGTTGTCCATCATTGATCTATGAATGCTAAGTAACATTTAGAAAAAGGCATTTCTTCAAAGTTACTTGGTTCTACCAGGTACAGTTTGACCCCTCTTTCATATTTTGGAGAGAAGAGCCAAACCAATGTTATAGTACAGACTTTCCAATTCTCTCTTTCTGAGTTGGGTCTTTTTTTTTTGAGCAGCTGGCTTGTACTGGGATCCATACCCTTGACGTTGGTATTTATCAACACCATGCTCTAACCAACTTAGCTAACCAGCCAGCCCTGAGTTCATTCTTTTTTGTTATTGCCATTGGTTGCATGGTAAAATTTATGAAGGTAGAGCAAATTATTTTTTTTTATGATTGCATATTGATTGGATTTTTTTTCTCTTTTGCAAAAGGAAATGTACAGATTACAACTGAAACTCTGCTAAAATCCATGGAAGAAGTACAAGGTATGAAGGTCAATGGGACTAAGATGGATAATAATGAAGGACAAAAGAATGGCAATGTGAGTAAAGGTCTCTCAGCTGGGTGCAGCGAATGCCCAGAAGTAGAGAAATTCATGACCAGTGTTGAGGTTTCAGAAACCAGCACACTAGTTTCCCTAGAGCCTATAACCTTTGTGGACCCTGGATTAACAGAAACAACTCCTAAAGAAAAAGAACGTGAAGAAATAAAAACTTATCCTTCTTGGTTGTCATTATTACCAGGGAACAGTGCCATTTCCAAAGTGGACAATGGGAAAGAAGAGTTGTGTAAATTAGACCTTGTCTGTGAAGCAGATGACAATCACCAACAGGTTCTTGGCCACCATAATGAAAAACATAGTTCTGCACATAGTCCCACAGCAACAGGAAATGTAGTTGCTGTAAAACCCTTGGAAGAAAATTCTGAAGTTTCATATTTCACATCATGTTTGTCTGGTCCAGAATCCAGAGCAATATCCTTAGAAAAATGTGGCTTTGAAGGTGATGGCTTGCTGAAGGGATCTGCTGAAAAGACAGACAATTCCTATTTTGATGGGAATGATCAAAGCAAAAACTTGGCTTCTACAGAAGAAAATGAAGACCAGCTTTTGAATCCCAGCAATGAAAGAGAGGAACTCTTTCTTATTAATGCCAGGCAAGCAGAAATGGATGCTAATGGACATTGTTGTGGTGAAAAAGAGACTATTAATTCCCCAAAAGAAAACATCCACAATAACCATTGCATTCAAGGCAGGTTCCGTACAGAGAGTTCTGGTTCTTTAATGCCTGATTCTTTTACTGAAGCCACAGAAGTAATGTTTAAAAAGAAAGATATGAAAAACACTTTAGGCATTCAAGGTAGCTTGACAAACCCTGAGGACCTTAGAGAAACTTTTACTAATATGAGCCATCCAGATGGACACTCTGAAGAAAGCAATTGTTCCTCCTTGATGCAGATTGAAGAACCAGAGCAAATAACCTCTACAAAGCCCAATATGTTAGGTGAAAAGATTTATAGTAGAGACTCTAACGCCTTAGTCAGCATCAAGAGAAATCTGGAAGGCAATACCCAGTTAAATGAAGCATCATGTAATGATTTTTTGTTTGAAAGAAAATCCCTTGTGAGTTTAATGCCCGAGGATCAGCTCAGTCCTGTAAATGAGGTATCAAAACCCAAGAAAGATAATGCTCAGTTACCACCATCCCCAGAATTCAATTGCAGAACTGAGTCAGAAAAAGCTGTACAGATCTTACAAGATGATATTCCATGTTTAGATGAACAGAACACTGCCTGTGAGATGAATGAACTTTCTTGTACCAATGAACTGGTTGTAAACAAAGTAGGAAGTGAATGTGTTTTAAATCAAGTGTCCCTTAATTCTCGAGACCATGCAAAGTTGCCAGCTGACTCCATTCTGAATATGAACAAAGAGATATCTTTAGCAACAAGTGAAAGTGCCCAACAGAGTCATAACCCTCTGTTAGAGGATGGAGCAGATGTCATTGCTGATATCCAAACCATTCCCATTAAGGCAGAAATGAAAGACATCTCTCCACCAGGTGACAAAACCTGTGGTGCCTCTTCAAGCAGTCCCACCTTAAACATCAAACCAGGAAGCCTAAAAAGAAAAAAAGAAATAGCTGATTCAAGAAGAGAAGGTCTACATTCCAGGCTTCTCTCAAGTAAGAAAGAAGCAGCTGGCTTTCCTCAAGAGGTCTCTATAATAGAATGTCAAAATGTTCAGTCTCAGGATATCTCTAGCTATCATTGTGTAAGAAAAAATGTACCTGAAGAGAATAAGTGTTCTACTTGTGTTGCTTTTGGGTCCAGCAAAATCATTTTGAAAGATGATAACTCTTTGATAATAGAATGTGAAAATGCATTTCAGCACAGTGCTCACCACTCCCAAGGAACAGAAGACTCTGTGGAAAGTAGCACCCATAAAGTGAATTGTACATCAGAGGAAAGTGGACTTGATGGGAAAGAAACTAAAGGCAGCCTTCAAGGAGATATGGTCAGAAACGAAATGACAGCAGGTGTGTTAAATAGTGGAGCTTCAAACAAAACTGCTCACACTACCCATCACATCAAACCCAATGAGGAAGGGCTAAAAGGAAAGGAACAGTATATACCCAGAGAGACTGTATTTTGTATGTATAATATCTGTGATTGTGCTATACAAAAACTAAGCCAATCTGCAAACATTCCACGTCCTGAAAAGTTTTTGGACCAGTCTGTTACTGTTATGTTCTCCACTTTTAAAAACATGAACCGAGCAGTTGAAACTCTTGATCAGAAGGCAGATGAAGTCCTTGACTGCCAGAGTAACCAAAACAGACCAGTTGAATGCAGAAATGAAGATAAACCATCTAAGGATACACTAGGTAGTGACCAGAGAGAGACCATCACAGAGCCTAACAGAGAGGCAAGCCACAACCAAAAGGATCTGCTCGTTAGTTCAGGCAGTAATAGTCGACTGTCTTCTGGTAGCACAAAGAAAGACAATTTGAAAGGAGCCTTGGAAAGTATTTCTGGTTGTGAAGAATCCACAGACAGTATGGTAGACATCATTTACCCAGACTGTAGTAATAAGCCTATAGAAAGTGTGCTGTACATGAAAGCATCTAGTACACTTGATAGGAGTGCAAGGCAAGATAGACTGGTATTCCAAGAAACCTCAAGGAGTACCTTGTCTCAGAAAGGAGAACCAGGTGCTGCATTTATAGGCACGACTGACCAGACCTCAGATTTCCCAGGTGCTGCTGCTTCTACAATGGAATCTCTTGAAATAAAAAAATCATGTAGAGAGAAAGTATGCAGATCTTTAAAAGACTGTGAAATGGAAGACTGTCCAGACTCTTGTGGCCATGAGATGGAGTCTGTTGCAGATCATGAGCCAAATATAAGAATATTAGATAGAGTAAATGTGTCTTTAAATTATATTTTTCATGCACAGCGAGGTAAAGGAGCATCTTTGAGAGAAACACAAAGAATGACTGAAGGATCAAGACTAGAAATAAATTCTGAGTTTGGCAAGGAAGATACCTTAGTAATTTCCTCAAAAGATTTGATGTCTTCTAGATGCCAAGATGAGAATTCTGTTCTCATAGGGACCCCAGAATCCACTGGGATAATGCCTTTGTGTCTGTCTGCTCAAGAAAATTCAGAAACTAATATTAATAGTGAAGAAACTGACCTGAAAAATATTTTTAAGCCAAAAGATGATGACATGCCTTGTGAGAAAGTAAAGGACTATACAGTCCTGCCTGAGATGAAGGAAGGAGTACCAAGAGATATGAATAATTCTAGTGGAAGAGATGGCATATACATCAGCGTGAAAAAGAATGCTTGCAAAGCTTGTCACACTCATGAGAATTCCACTGATAGACATTTGCCTTTGACAATGGAAACAGAAACTGAAGTGAAAGGAGGAGAAACTGAAGAACATCAGAGGAGACCATTGGGTCATTTAACTGTTGGAGAGGAATCTGAGAAGATGATTACCAGAGAAGATGGTGATGATGATAATGTGAGCAAAATTTCTCAGGCCCACTTTAACTGTGAGAGGATGCTTGATGATGGTGAAAAACAACAAAGCCAGAAGGTTTTGAACTATATGGTGAAGGAAGAGGAATATATACATCAACAAGCACATACAACATTGGAACAATGCACATCATCTAATATGTTGTCGTCAGGTGAGGCACAAAATAAGAACCAACCTAAGCTTGACAAAGATGAGTCCACCATAATGAAAGAAATTACCCTAGCAAAGCTGGCCAGAGGCATCATAGCCACACAGTTTCAGAAGTTGAAAGACCCAAAGGAGGAAAGCTTATGTCATCCACTAAAGAAAGACATTGAGTTTTGCACAGGTCCTTGCCTTCCTGGGGCCCCCTGGAAAGTGCAAGATCCCAGTGCTGCTGGGTGTGATCAAATATGTGGTGCCTTTGTGAACACTTCACGTCAGAAAGGAATGCTTCCCTTGAAGAAGCAGCCCCATCGAACATGTAAGAAAGTTTCCTGTCAGGAACAAGTTAGTGTGGGGAGAAAAATAAGTAAAATCAGAAGTTCTGCCTTTTTTAAAAGTTCCTCTGATCCCATCCCCACAAAAGCACACAGACTTCTTAGTTCATGTGCTGTACCTGTACCCACTCGATTGGAACCCGAAACAGTACCTACCAGGAGCTTGATTAGCCACATACCAAAGCAGAAGGCTGCTCCATGCCATCTCTTGAGGAGCCTGAATTTTCGGAAGCCTACCAAAGAATCAGCCTTATTAAACAAGCTGTCCATCCTTGCCTCCAAACTGGCCCCAGCCACAAAGATACAGAAATTCCGATATCGGCGGTGTTCCTCTGAACTTCTTCCAGTGGCTAACAGCTGTAAGCGCTTCAGATATAAAAAGCTCCTGGATGGATTTTCATACAATACAATGCAGCTGAATCCATACTTGGCAGCTAGTGGATGGGATAAGAGGCCTAACAGTAAGCCCTTGGCACTTTATTCTCTTGAAGCCATCAAAATGACCTGCATAGATCTGAACAACAAAACACCATCACTGCTCTTTGGCTCTGAAATCTTCCCAGTATCCTTTCACGTGAAACCAGACTCAGATTGCATGACTGAGTCCTCAAAGACTTTTCCTGAGCACTGTGCTCCAGCAAGGCTTGCCTTAGGAGAAGCCCGCGAATGCCCATCTCAACCTCCCAAGTGGACCTTTTCTTTCTTCTTGTCCCACAGTTACCCTGGGATGACCACATTCAGGGAAGACTCTAGCCTCCATAGTCAGGCACATACTCAGGCTCCTCCACAGCCTCCAGCTCCTCTCCAGGACTATGGAGGCACTACCATAGTCCAGACTAGAGCAGACTGCTCTGTCCTTGGCCTTCACACGCTTCTAGCACTTTGTTCCCCAGGATGTTACCGAATCTGGACAAAAAAACGAAGCTTCTCCAGTCACATGCCTACCATGCAGAGGCTCTTCATGACCCAGTTTACACAGGGCTTGAAAGGATTAAGGTCTCCAGCCTCCATAGCAGACAAGGTCTTCTGTTCTCTGCCCTACTCGGTGGGAAGAGTGCTGTCCATTTGGAGCCAGCATGGGCCTTCTGCCGGCTCCTTTGAAATTTCTGCTCTTCATTCCACTCACAGCAAGCGGCCAAGTCTGGGTACAACAAGCAGGTAAAAAATGTCCTCTGTTCTTTGCAAATGTCCCATGATTGTTTCCTGTCAGTGGGGTGAGGAGCAGGGGACTACTGAACATGCAAGGCTATTTGGAGTCTTCTTTGTATCTGCATTTTCTGTTTACCTTGCCAAATCTCTGCTGAGAAAATGTAGCAGTAGTTCTTAAGTGTAGACCCCCCTAATTTTCCTGCATATCTACTCCTGTGTTTTGTACCTTTCAGTCTCTTTTTCTGTCCATTTCATTCTTTAAAACATCAAATCTTTTGAGTCTTTTTTTCTCCTTTTGCCTTCATCCTGTAAACAAATGCCCATTACAAGTGTAAGCCTATAAATAGTGACAAATAATGTCTGTAACTCTATCTTGTTCCTAAAGCATCATGCAGCCAGCACCTAACTCAGTGTTTGGTGTGTAAAGGACACAGGATAAATACTTCTTTAGTAAATGAATGAATTATGTAGGTATCACCAAACCTAGTTTATGATCCTCTTCATTTTTTTCTGCAGTGTAGAGGCTTCAAAAATTGGCATTTACAGGGCCGGCCCGTGGCTTACTCGGGAGAGTGCGGTGCTGATAACACCAAGGCCCCGGGTTCGGATCCCATATACAGATGCCTGGTTCGCTCACTGGCTGAGCGTGGTGCTGACAACACCAAGTCAAGGGTTAAGATCCCCTTACCGGTCATCTTTTAAAAAAAAAAAAAAATTGGCATTTACATACAATAGTTTTAGGATTTATAGATTTTAAGGTTAACTGGGAAGGAGTTCTTGTGGTTTGATCACTGAGAATAGTTGAAAAAAATTTAGGGCCGGCCCGGTGGCGCACTGCTATAGTGCGCTGCTTGGGAAGCGCAGTGGCGCTCCCGTTGAGGGTTCGGATCCCACATACAGACCGGCCGCTCACTGGCTGAGCGAGGGGCGGGAGCAACACCGAGGGTTGCGATCCCGTGGCCGGTCCCGGTACGGTACGGGCGCGACACTGAGGGTTGCGATCCGTTGCCGGGCACAAAAAAAGACAAAAAGGAAAAAAAAAAAATTTCATCTATACATCATACCTTCTAATTGAAAATTAGAGAAGGAAAAGAATTTGAAAGTTAAACTACCCATCTTAAGAATCCCTAAAGAGCTGCTTTAGATACAGTAGATAAATCCTCCTGTTTGTAATTCTTTGGATAAACAGAAACTTTAAAATTTTTTAATTAGCTCTTTACCATTGCTATAGTCAAAAAATTAAACAGCAGCAGCAGCAAAAAAAGCCTTAATATTCCAAATAGTCTGGCAGAGGCCTTGTTCTTTGTATATGGGAAGTCTCTTATGCAGAATCATTCTGTGTCATTAAAAAGCTGCTGGTGCATATTATGTAGTTCCCTGAGCATCTTAGCAGAAAACTAAGCAAATAAAACGGTTTTGGAAAAACACCCCAGAACTCAAACATGACTGATTAAAATTGAAAGATGAGTTACTGGGCTGGCCCGCTGGCGCACTGCTACAGTGTGCCACTTGGGAGCGCGGCTGCGCTCCCGCCAAGGGTTCGGATCCCACATACAGACCGGTTCCCGCTCACTGGCTGAGCGAGGTGCGGGCGCAACACCGAGGATTGCAATCCTGTGGCGGTCCCGGTCCGGGCGCGACACTGAGGGTTGCGATCCATTGCCGGACACGAAAAAAGACAAAAAAAAAAGGAAAAAGAAAAAAAAAAGAAAGATGACTTACTATTATAAATGCTTGTCCTATAGTAATACAAAAATGTTCAGTTCTTATAGTGCAGCCATAAAAATATGTTAGAATGAATCAAGTTATTTTAAATTATGGTATATTGCCTTTATTGTCTAGTTTGTTGGTATACCTCTAAAATCCCATAATTGCTTCCTGCTATATGTCCATGGCACACAGCTTTATGTTGTGTTGCCCTCTTTAAACTGTGTTTATTCCCAAGTTAATGTACAGGTTAGTTATTTCACCCTGGGAAGATGTGAAACTTTGGCTGTTTTTCCTTTTCCAGAACTCTTTCCCACCTGACTTTTCTGTTTTCTAGTATGGAATATTTTCTCTCTCTCCCTTACTTCCTGTGTGTAGCCTTTTATTTTATTTTATTTTAATTCAAGTGTAAGGTGGAGGGGTGGTGTTTGTAGGGACTTTTTCTTCTTGTTGGCTCTAAAAGTGCCTTAACATCATGTGCCTGGGCTTAGAGTTTAGAAGTTTGCTGTTTGTCTAAACACACTTAGAAATGTTTCCAGCAAGGGCCGAGCCCGTGGCGCACTCGGGAGAGTGCGGCGCTGGGAGCGCAGTGACGGTCCCGCTGCAGGTTCGGATCCTATATAGGAATGGCCAGTGCGCTCACTGGCTGAGCGCGGTGTGGGCGACATCACACTAAGGGTTGTGATCCCCTTACCGGTCACGAAAAAGACAAAAAAAAAAAAATGTTTCCAGCAAGATAAATTGGGTAGCCCCAGAAAATAATACTTAACAAAGGTTAAGTTTTTATGTTTCTGTAGGATTTTTTGCATTTGAACCTCATTCTCCAGCACTCCATAATACAGCCTGGACAGGCGTCTCTTTTGCCTTTTTATAGAAGCTGAGACTGAGGTACATGAAGGTTTTTTTCTAACCCAGATCACTCAGCTGGTTGGGATTTCAAGCTCCTGGTTCCTGATTTGGTCATCTCCTTTTCCACTATTTTACTCTGCCTCTCTTTCCTTTTATCAGTACTCCTCAGGGAAACCTATGTTGGTATTAAACACTATACTAGAAACCTGAATTATCTTTGTTTTTCCTAGCTGTTAAACAAATTCCCCTTACTTCTGAGAAGAGATGAGGTGTATGGTCATCACACAAACGCCTTATTAATTAAACCTGTCTGTCTTCTAAACTCAGTAGAAACTGACGCAGGTTTTGAGAGGCACAAAAAGCTTTCCAACATCACACTTAGTTCCTATAAGTGGTTAATACTGTTTCATCTATAAAAGTAAAAGCTTAATTATATTTGTAAAGGCATCAACTCTTAACAGTTTTCTTGTATATAGCCATATTTAAAGTGCAAATTGGGGGCCGGCCCAGTGGCGCACTGGAGAGTGCGCCGCTTGGGAGCGCGGCGGCGCTCCCGCCGAGGGTTCGGATCCTATGCGGAGACCGGTTCCCGCTCACTGGCTGAGCGCAGTGTGGGCGCAGCGCCAAGGGTTGCAATCCCATTGCCGGTCCCCGGTACGGGCGCGACACTGAGGGTTGCGATCCCGTTACCGGTCAGTAAAAAAGACAAAAAAAAGGAAAAAAAAAAAAAAAAGTGCAAATTGGCTTTAAAGA